GCTGAAAGGAACTTGCAAAGAAAGAGGAAAATCAACTGAAAACAAGAAGAGAAAAAGCAGCCTCCAGATGCTTTACCAGAAGACTCACATGAGGGACTGGTCACAAATTCAGAGGACTCACAGGCGCAGGTAACATGAGGGCTTCACCAGACCTCAACATGAGTTCTTTAGGTATAAAGTAATCTGAACTTGGGGTTGAACTAAGAAACATACCAGGAACAAGGCCAATGTGCTATCCAAGCTGCTCAGCCCATCACCACACGGCAGCAGACAGAGAAAGGGGGCTCCAGTGAGACTCCTGAGCACTGGTGTTCATCATGCCCAACAATGGCTCTTATGCATAGTTCCTCTGTATTCATGGGCTGAAATCATGGGAATGCAGTGTGGGTATCACACAGCTATGAAGACAGCAAATGGACTAAAGAAAAAATAAAAGAGCCGCAAAGACACTGCAATACCAGAGAAAAGTACCATAGGTTAAAAGAGACAAAAGACCCGGACAAATCAAGGTGATAAAAAGGCCACCTTCCCATGAACATTTAATTTAATGTTTATGAGTCTCATGGATGGTTCCTGTAATTCTAAAGGATGGAATCTGCCTACTCACGTAGGATGCTATTTCACAGCTAAATAAATATCCACTCCTAGACACAGTATTGTCCATGTTTCCCTGTCACAGTGAAGAGTCATGGAAGGCCTGCTCCATGCCTTCATCATTATAGGCAAGACTGTCACGGAAGGTATTTTTCTAAGGAGCAGTACAAAACCAAGGGGTTTCTTAGGAAATACTCTTTTTCACAGTCTCCTTATGTAAAAAAAAAAATATAGTAACTAAAATACATTTTTTGAGTTCCTCAAAACCCAGGAGAGGTTTTCATAGAAAACAAATCTCAGGCTCAATCAACAAATGCCAGTAAAGAGAAGTGCACTTAAGAACAATTCAGGAAAAGGAAAAAAAGGTTAATAAATAACAGTAACTAAAAGGGAATAAATAACAGTAATTAAATGTGTGAAGTAGAGGCAAGGTATATAAGATGAGAAACAAACTGGAAAAGAAGAAGAAACAGCCTTAAGCATAATTTCCAAAACAAAACTCTGAGAATACCAACTTGTTTCCAAATAAACCACAAATGCATGGCTAGAACTAACTTGACACTGGCAGTCACTGGCAATAGCTGAACTTGCTGATCTTCTGGCCTGAAGAAAAGTTGCTAGCGGTCAGTAAAGGTGGAAAAGAAAAGGAGAAAAGAATATAATTAACAGCTAACATGTACTTAAGCATTTTTTTTATGACGGGAATTAACCATGTGCTGTCTTTGTTATTAACCTACTTAATCACACACAAATCTTGTAAAGTGCAAAACCTTTGCTATCTATCTCCAATTTAATGATCTGAAAACTGAGGCAGCAAGAAGTTCAGTACCTTGCCTAAGAACTCAAGGACAGGCATCAATCAGGTATTTATCATTTGTATCACGTTTATCACGTGTCCATTGTATGTGCTCATGCATGAACATATATGGCATGCAGTCATACAAGCACTCAAGAAATACCTCCGAAGGCTTTCGATCTTCATGTCTGGAGCATGAACTTCTCCTGTGCTGGGATCTGGAATTCTGTGACCAAGTAGTTGATAGACCTACAGAGATAAATATGCAAACAGGAACAATTAAACATTGCACAGATCAATGAGCATTCATTCATAGTGCCTTGTATGATTTTTATAAAAAATTCATCCAGGCTCATCTCAGTGCCATAACATGATGGCAAAGAGTCTTCTCCCCGGCACAGCTCTGGCACTCCCACTACTTGTTTAAGCGCTTATCTTCCAAAGCAAGCCCAGCAGGTTCGCTGTTCTGCCCGTGGTTCAGTGATGTGTCTCAGGTACCACCTAATGAGAAAAGAGATGGCTTGCAGGTGGAGCCTTCATCCATAATAAGCTTGCACTTTCCAAGTTAAGAAAGTTTGATCTCTCACATTAGTAATTAAAAGCTGAAAACCATTTTACTGATTTGTCACTGTCATTGTTAGTTGCTGTCATGTACAACTCAAAAGCAACACTGTGAACAGCCAACCTGAAACCTGCCCCATCCTCATCCTCTGACACACTACTGCTGAAGTCACTGTGTCAATCCATCTCGCTGGGGTCTTCCTCTCCTTTACTGACCATGATCCTAACCCAACTAACACATAAGAACAATCTACATTTTCTAGAACATAGGACTCATCAGGCCTATGCCCCAAAACGCTATCATTTTTAAAATTTTTAATTTTATCAATTTTTTATCATTTAATCAATTTTACTTTTAAAAAGTGGCTAATCGCAAAAAATAAGTGACATAAATTTTTCAAAAGGAACTACTCTGTTCCCATGAAAATGTCAACTGATCCTCCTTTTTAAAGCATTCATTTGATCTTTTGTCAGTGACCCACTGAACCTTCAAAAAAAGGGCAGAATGAAAGTGCTACTTTTGGATAAAGAAGCAACATTTTGTGTTGTTTTGTTTCCATCAGTGGTATGACAAGGTGAAGGAAAAAAAGGGGGAAGAAAGAAAATGTGTTTGCTCTTTCCTCTAACTTTGTTCCAAAGGTGTTCAAGTCTTCTGCAATCTGCCTCTACCCTCACCCTCGCCTCCGCCTGGGAAATGGATCCTAGCCAGGCACAAAGGCCTCCTTACTGACACCACAACTAAGCTGTTGTCAGGCCTCAGACCCTGATGTTATCCTGCAAGTGTTCCTCCTCTTCCACATGCCTTGTAAACATTTATTTCTCCTCAACTCTTCTTGCCCCAAAAATCTCTCCCCATGAAGCACTAGTCCATACCCAGTAACTCAGAGGAACAAATATAAAATAGTCAGAGTCAAAGACCTCAATTACCCCCAGCCAGGCAGTCTTCCCCTTAAACATTAAGCTCTGTAATAGTAAAAATTAGGTGCAACATTTCCCGCAAGCCTGTTTTTCTCCTTTTATTTCTACTTTGGAAGTATTTCCATTGAAGTCAGAAATCTAAGAGACATCCTAGTCTCCCCTCATTCCAGACACTTTCAATGACTAGTCTGTGTGGAAGTCCACTTTACCCTCTTATCCTGGAGATCACCCAAACCAGTTATCTTTGAAAAGAATCTAACGTATGGTGACCGAACTCCTGTCAGAAAAATGTGCTTCCTAGGGTTTTCAATCACTATTTTCTTATGTGGCTTGCCAGACCTTTCTTCTAGAGGTACCTCTAAATGGATTTGAACCACAGAGTGCTTAATCAATTGTTCAACCCCCGAGACTCCAATTCTATTCGCTAACACCTCACAAAATTCTAGCCATTCCTTTTCATGCTATCTGGCTTCCTTGCTTTTTTATATAAGCAACTGCAACAGCCTCCTGTTTCTGGGCACCATGCAGCTGCCAGAAGTTTGAAACAATCCTTTCAACTGGCATCTAATTGTGCAGTTTTCCAGAAATTAAGAAAACACCAAAAGTAAAAGCCAAGGTTCTTGGGAACATTCTACAGGTAAGTTGTCTGTCACTCAAATGAATAGCTTTTATCACTACAGATCTCTTAGTCAAAGCGCCCTTAAGACCTTGGGGACATTAAGAAATAGACTTTACACATAAGCCTATCAACAGATTTGGGACAACGAAGACTAAAGAGAATTTGCTGAGCTTTGCTCTGATATGGAGACTATCAACAATATCCTTGATCACTTGTTATAAGGCCCTATTAACTAGGTTAACTGACTGGCTGTTCTTACTTCAATCAGTTAAGATTTCTCTATTGGTGGTCCCACTGCCAATATCACTGCATTTTTCAGTTAATATTTTAAAAACCTGATCTAGGAAAAAATTAAATATATCTCTTCAGACTGTATATGAATAAGACAGTTTCACTCCCACTTTGAACAAAATATAATGGGCACATTTGGGTAGGGTCAGCCTAACAGTTCTAACTGTGGTCTAAACAGCTAAAAGCCAAATCAGGAAATGGAGAGGAAGGTGGCTGGTGGGCTCATAAAATCTAGGGAGGCTTCTTTTTTCACATTCTGATATGGAACACCAAACATCAGCCAGGTCACAGCAAGAAAGATGAGGAAGTGTGCAGAGTACCTGCAACATGTAGTACTACTAGAAAGTTCAGCGAGGGAAGATAAAGAGAGCAGAATAGAATGGGATGTTCATGTACTTCAAATTATTAAGTATTATAAATAAATGATAAAAAGTAAAACTGGAAATTTTTAAAACAATCATTCCATTTCAACATTCTAGAAACATCCACCGGAAAAATTCTTCATGGTCAAAGCCTTCAAAGTTAAAGCAGAAACAATGTTCTTTGGTTTTGTGACCCTTCTGCCTCTTCTGAGGTGAATCTATCAGTATCCACCACCACCTCAGGTAGCTTCCAAGGTTACCAGCAAGCCTGCAGCTTTGCTAGCATAGAATACAACCCAAGTAAGGACAATTATTTAAAAATTCTCCATAGAATTGCTTCTAAATCTTGAAAGATGGTATTAGTACCACGTTTACATTTAAAAACGGTGATGCTGTGGCAAGAAGCTGAACTGCAATCCCAGAGATGGGAGGTTGGAATCCACCAGATGCTCTGCTGAAGGAGGAGAGACCATCTCCTCCTGTACTAGTCCAATCTGATTTGACAGTACACACACAAAAAAAAATTTTTTTTTTTAAAAAAAAGTGATGCCACAAATTTGAAACTGACAGTACTAATCAAGAGGCTCTGTGGTCCATCCAGAAACAATCTGTTCCTCTTCTTTTTAATTTACCCAGTATTGAGATCATTCAAAAGAAAGAGGAATAAAAAATTAATCCTATGAAGCTCATTTTGTAAATAAAGAATGGAAAAGCAACTACTTTTAAATTATCACTAGCACTAGGTATGTTCTGAGCACCTTATTTATCAAAACCAAAAGCTAGCAGGTTGAACAAACCAGTAAATTGCAGCACTCATGCAATGGGACACTGTTTAGCAATAAAAAGGAATGACATACTGATATATGCAACATGAACGAATTGCATGATACAAGCAACAATATGAGTAAAAGATGTCCCTACCTCAATAGTATAATAATAGTATTAAACTTTAAACATAATCTCAGAAATACAAGCTGATAGTGACAGAAAGGAGGAATCAGAAATGAGCGTTTAGGAAGGTGACAGACATGTTTACCTTCTTGACTGTGATGCGATTCATGGGATTAACATGTCAAAGTATACGACACTGTGTTCTTTAAATATGACCAATTTACTGTGGGTCAATCATCCTTCAATAAAGCTGTTAAGAAAAATCACTGACAGAAATTATCTGATGATTTTCTATCATCCTTTAATCATAAATAAAAAAAATATAGATTTCTATTCACTCAGGTTTCTAAAAAACCTAGTCTATGCTGCTGAACCAGTTGAGACTCTGCAATGGGAGCCCTAAGAAACTAAGGTAAGTTTAGTAATGGTATTTATTGCTCATGATCTTTTTTCTGATTTACCTGATTCTATCAGCAACAGGTGAGGTGTATGTCTGGATTTTATCTTTTCTCCATACCTATTCAATTGTATGTTAGGCAAATAATTTGATAACCTGGGCTATATAAAGGAGAATGTGGCAACCACAATGGAGGAAGACTAATCAACAAACTGCGTTATGCAACTCTGATTATGACAACTTTGCTTGCACAAAGTAAAGAATATTGATGCACTTGCTCCAGAAAATCAATAGCCTTCAATATGGATTACATTTGAATCTCAAGAAAACACAAATCCTGACCACCAGACCAATAGGCAACATCATGGTAAATGGAGAAAAGATATAAGCTGTCAACAAATTCATTTTACTTGGATCCACCATCATTATCTTTGGTATCAGCAGTCAAAAAAATCAACAAAGCTGTACTGCTTTGGGGAAATCTGCTGTCAAGGATTCTCTTCAAAATCCTAAAAAAAAAAAAAATATCAGTTTAAAGATTAAAATGCACCTAAAGCAAGCCACAGTCTTTTCAAATGCTTCTTATGCATCTGAAAGTTGGACAATGAATAAGGAAGACAGAAAAAAGAACTTATGGCTTTGAACTGTGGCACTGTATAAGAGTACTGGATAGCCTAAGGACCACTATAAGAACAAGTATGTCTCAAAGGACGTACAGGATGCTTCTTAGAGGCAGAGATGGTGAAGCTTCATCTCACATACTCTGAGCATGTTGTCAGGAGGGATCAGTCCTTGGAAAAAGAGATTATGCTGTGAAAGATCAAGGGTCAGCTCAAGAGAAGAAGATCTTCATCAAGATGGATTGAAACAATGAAACGTGGGAGGTTGTGAGGATGGAGCAAGACAGGACATGGTTATGATCCATTGTTCATAGTGTCGTTAGGAGTTGTAGTTAATTCGATCAGCACCTAACAATACCAACTATCTTAAGATGCTTTACTAGCAGACAGGAAATGACTACCTGGAGTATACAGTAATCGGGAAACACTGCTATGTACACAACAGAATCAATCAATACTGTTGAAAAGGAGGAGTGGACAAAAACTTAACACTTGATCAACATCAAGCATGCTTGATGAGAATCATTACTAAAAACTAAGAAATGAAGACACAAGTACCGAGCATATTAAAATTAGAAAATATTCTTCTG